GTCAACAAAACAGTGCTTGCTATTTCCTTCACTCCATCACATCTGCCACTGTTACGGGAGCTACGCTCAACGCCAGCTTCAACTCTAAGATATAGTTCGATACGCGTAATAACGTAGCGAACATAATCATGACATTGCAGTTACTCAACATCCGGAAACCCCAGAGCGCATGCATAACGCTCAACTGGCTCTTCACTGGCATTCCATCCGTCGTGAAACCTATACAAACACTTCGTCATAAGAGACGCAAGCAGGCTTATTAACGGCATTACATAACCACAATTGCAACAAAAATCCTTGCCTGGCAAAACACAATCAAGTACCCATGACGAACAAACGTACCAATGGTAAGCGAACGCTCAGTATACACTCACAGCATTGCCTCTCTCCCAAACGCCAGCTACAAAACCCGGTATAAAGATTAGCACAGGCGCAACCCTCCTATCAATGCAATTCACTCTACACCCGTGCCATTGAAGCCCCATCCCCTCCAACTCGACACTAACCTGTATCCACGCCAACAACATCTCCACCTTTCACCTCCACAGAATACAAACGGCACCATTATCACAGATCAATGCACGCTGCAATGCGCATTGGGGCAGAGTGGCTGAGGCAGAGTGGCTGCGGTCATGTGATCTCACCACCGCCCTCACGCCTGAGCCTTTTGTGCGCAGCACAAACCTCGCTTCACCTGAGAGCGTGACTACAAACACGCCCCTTCTACCGCATGCAGACAGCAACGAATTGCTCTACTTTGCAGAGTCGCAAACGCGATGTTCCACCCTCGCAACGTCGAAGAACACAACACCCCCTTTCGCCCAACAGCAACAGTAATACACGGACGCTTTCCCTAACGCACTAGCTGTGGCAAACCAATCTCCTCATCGCCGCCCACCATCCTTCCTCTTCCACGCCATAGACACCGCCCTGTTTAAAGACCCTTCTGATTCTCCAACATTGCATCCTCGCCTTTACAACGCCTCGATACACTTGCGAATCCCCATAAGTCTACAATGCCTCATGCCATCATATTCAGCCTCGACAAAGGAATGATTGCTGTTCCCTTCACTGCAACCCAGCTTCTAGTGCCCCAGGGGCTGAGATGAAGGCCTGCGTCACCTCCGAGACACACGCCGATTGACCTAGACACTCTGCGAACATCATGATAACAATGCAGTTACTCAACATGCGAAAACCCAAAGTCCATTCATAACGCTCAACTGACTCTTCACTCGCATTCCACCCCTCGTGAAGCCTGTACAAACACGCAGTCTTCGGAGAAGCAAGCAGGCCTATTAAGAGCCTCAGAGTAATACAAATGCAACATATATCCTTGACTGGCACCACACAATCACGTATGCATGCCGCACACACGTTGTACGAGTTCTCAGCCAAAGCTCTGTATGCCCTCGCACGATCCTCTGCTACACGAATGTAGGCTAAAAAGCCGGCACTGAGATTCAAACACGCGCACCCCTCCTATTAATGCAATTAATTCTACACTTGTACTATTACAAGACCATAAATGCCAACTCGCGACTAGCGTCTACCCACGTCAAGATCTCCACCTTTCATATCCACACGTTATAAACGATACCACTGCGACAGATGAATTCACGCTGCAATGCACATTGCGGGAGAGTGGCTGCGGTCATGCAATCTCACCACCGTCTTCATGCTGAAACCGCCTGGTCGTAGCAGACTCGCCGCTTCGCCTGATACCTTGACGGCAGACAAACATACCGCCTGTTCCATGCCAACAGCAAACAAAACGCTGTCCCTTCCACAGTCATAAAAGCCCTATTTCACACAGCACACGCCCACGATAACCTGTGGTGCACCAGCACCAATCAATACAAGCATGCGTTCCCGAACGTACTCTCTATGGCAAACAAATATCCTCATCACCGCACTACACCCTCCCTCTTCCACGTCGCACACGCCCCCATCTTTAAACACCCTTCTGACTTTCCCAGATTGTGTCCTCACCTGCACAATGCCTCCATACACTTACCAACCCCCACGGCGCTTCCTAAATGCCTCATGCCATCACCCTGCATCCAATCATCCACATCCATTCACACCTGTAGCCGGCTTCAACAAAGCAGTGCTTGCTGTTTCCTTCACTGCAACACAGCTTCCACTGTCACACCGGGTGAGATCAAAGAGCTCTTCAACCATTAAACATAATTTAATCACAAAGTGAACACAATGATGAGAATGAAGTTACTCAACATGCGCAAAACCCAAAGCCCATACATAACGCTCAACCGACACTTCACTGACATTCCATCCCTCGTGAAACCTATACAAGCACTCAATTGGCAAGCCTTCAATCAGGCATATTAACAGCGTTACATTAACGCAAATGAAACCAAAATCCTTGGCTGTCCCCACACGATCAAACATCCATGCCCAACAGACGTCGTAACAACGCCCAGCCAAAGCTGCGTATATCCTCGCACCATCCTCGGCTAAAGAAACGGCTAAGCCCAGACATTGCAGCACGCGCAAGCCCCTATTAATGCAACGGTTGTGCAATGTACAGTTGTGCCATTACAATATCATCAATACCACCTCGACGCTAGCTTGTATCCACGCCAACATCTCCACCGTTCACCTCCACTACAAACGACACCACTGCGACAGATCAACGCACGTTGCAATGCATCTGTATGCCGGGCAAGTGAGGTCATGCGATCTCACCACCGCCTTCACGCCCAAACCGCCTGGTCGCAGCACACCCCTCCATTCATGTGATAGCTTGACGACAAGCATTGCTGTTCTACTGCGTGAAATTAGCAAACCAAAACCTATCCAGGGATGTTCCACGGAAGCTTCGCACAAGCTAACAACTGCCCCTTTCGCGCAACAGCAACAATACACGCCGACGCCGCCGATCCCAAACGCACTAGCTATGGCAAGCAAATCCCCTCGTCACCGCATTACACCCTACCTCTTCAACGTCGCAAACGCCGCGATACTTACAACCCCTTCTCATTCTCCAGCATTGCATCCTCACGTACGCCATGCTATCATACACTAACCAACCCTCATTGCCGCCCAAAATACCACATGCCATCGTCCTGTTTCAACTCATCCAAATCCACTCAAACGTGTATTCGACCTAAACAAAGCAGTGCTTGTTGTTTTCTTCAATGCATAACAGCGTTCAGTGTCGCGGGTGCTCAGATTAAAACGCGCTTCAACCATTAAACATAGTCTGATGCGATTAATCACGTAGTGAACACAATGACGAAAATGCAGTTCCTGAACATCGGGAAAACCCACAGCCCATGCATAACGCTCAACTGACTCTTTACTGGCATTCCACCCCTCGTGAAACCTATACAAACACTCCGTCGACACTCCGCGACAGTGCCCCAACTCGGCTTGTTCACAGCCTGACATTAACGCAAATGCAACGTTGATCCTTGTCTGGCCCCACACAATCAAGTATCAGTCTCGAGCACACGTTGTACCAATGCTGAGCCAAAGCTCTGTACGCCCGCACACAATCGTCTGCTTCCCTCACACCGGTTACAAAACCCGGCATAAAGGTAAGCACACGCTCAACCCTCCTGTCAATGCAATTAATTCTACACTTGTGCAATTAAAAGATCATCAATGCCAATTCGCCGCTAGCCTGTATCCACGCCAACATCTCCACCTTCGTCCACGGCTTCCAAGAGATACCCTGCGACACATTAACGCAGGTGACAACGCACACTGCGGCCGAGTGGCTGCGGGCATGGGATCTCACCACCGCCTTCACACACAAGCCGCCTTGGCGTAGCACCTGATACCTTGGCGACAAAAACAGACCTTCAACGACATTCAAATAGCAAACGAAAAGCTATACTCCGCACACTCGTAACAGCGATGCTCCACCCACGCAACGTCGAAGAACCCAACACCTCCTTTCGCGCAACAGCACCAATCAATACACGCATGCGTTCCCGAACGTACTCTCTATTGAAAAGAAATCCCCTCATCACGGCAATCCACCCTCCCTCTTCCACGTCGCAGACGCCGCCATCTTTAAACACCCTTCTCACTTTCCCACACTGCGTCCTCACCTGAACAATGCCTCCATACACTTACCAACCCTCGCAACGCTTCCTAAATGCCTCATGCTATAGCTCTGCTTCAAATCATCCACTTCAACTCACAAGTGTAGTCGGCATCATGAAAGCAGCGCGTGCTATTTCCTTCGCTGCATCACAGCTTCCCCTGCCACTGGAACTGCGATCAACGCCCACTTCAACCATAAGACATAGTTCGATGCATTTAATCACATGGCGGACACAATGAGAGCAACGCAATCACTCAGCATCCGCGAAACTCAAAGCACATGGGTAACGGTGAACTGCTTCCTCACTGGTTACTCACCATCCATTCTTCACTGGCATTCCATCCCTCTTGAAACCTATACAGAAACACTCAATCTTCGGAGAAGCAAGCAGGCTTATTAACAGCATACCATTAACGCAAATGCAACCTAGATCCTTGGTTGGCCCCACACAATCAAGTACCCATGCCGAACACGCATCATGCCAACGCTCAGCCAAAGCTCTGTATGCCCACAAACGATCGCCTGCTTCACAAACGCCAGTTGCAAGACGCGGCATAGACAGTAGCTCACTCGCAACCCTCCTAGCAATGCAACTCACTCTACACTTCTGCCAATACAAAACCATCCACGCCAACTTGACGCTAGCCTGTATTCACGCCATCTCTACCTTTCACCTCCGCAGACTACAGGCGATACCATTATCACAGATCAATGCACGCTGCAATGCGCATTGCGGCAGAGTGGCTGAGGTCTTGCGATCTCACCACCGCCTTCACGCCGAAATCGTTGGGTCTCAGCACGCAATCCTTTTCACCCAATAACCTTACGACAAACACGGCGCTTCTACCTGATTGAAAGAGGAAACGAACAACTATACTTTGCCCAGCCGTAAACGCGATGCTCCACTCAAGCTACGCGCAAGGTTACAACAGCTCCTTTCGCTCACCAACTCCAATAAATAGAGACCTCCCATCCCCAACGCACTTCCTATGCCAAACAAACCCTCAAATCAGCGCACTCCATCCTTCCTCTACCATGTCGCAATTGCCGTGATATTTATAGCCCCTTCGCCAACATTGCGTCCTCACCGGAACAACGCCTCCATACACTTGCTAACCCCAATCGCGTCGAGAGTGCCTCATGGCATCGCTGGGCGTCAACTCATGCACTTCCACTCACACCCATATTCGGCCGCAACAAAGCAATGCCTGCTGTTTCCTTCACTGCATGACAGCCTCCACTGTCACCGGAGCTACACGCAATTCTCGGTTCAACCATAAGACATAGTTCGATGGACCCAAACGCAAAGAACCATGATAACAATGCAGCTACTCAACATGCAGATAATCCACAGCATACGGATAACGCTCAACTGACTCTTCACTGGCATTCCGCCCTTCGTGAAACCTATACAAACACTTCGCCATAAGAGCCAAAACCAGGCTTACTACCAGCTTCGACATACCGCAAATACAACACTAACGCTTGCCTGGAACCACACAAAAAAGCCTCCATAGAGATTGGCACATCCGCAACGCTCCTATCAATGCAATTCACTCTACACTCGTGCCATTGCAGCCCCATCCACGCCAACTCGACACTAACCTGTATCCACGCCAACAACATCTCCACCTTTCACCTCCACAGACTACAAACGATACCATTATCACATATCAATCCACGTTGCAATCCACACTGCGGCAGAGTGGCTGCGGTCATGCGATCGCACCACCGCCTTCACGCCAAAATTGCCCGGTCACCCCACACCCTCCCCTTCAGCTCATATCTGGTCAACCAAAAACACACCTCCTGCTCCATTCCAACAGCAAACGAAAAGCTATACTCCGCACACTGCATTGTCGCTTGCTCCACCCACGCAACGTCGAAGAACCCAACACCTCCCTTCGCGCAACAGCACCAATCAATACACGCACGCATTCCCGAACGTACTCTCTACGGCAAACAAATATCCTCATCACCGCACTACACCCTCTTTCTCCCACGTCGCACACGCCCCCATCTTTAAACACCCTTCTTATTCGCCAACATTGCGTCCTCACCTGCACAACGCCTCCGTACACTTACCAACCCCCACAACGCCTCATAAATGCCTCGAGCCATCGCCCTGCTTCAAATCATCCAATTCCACTCATACGTG